CTACAAGGGTTCCTAAAATTCAGAATGTCACTAAAATGGTATTTCCAGTTTTTTCAAACTTCAGTGTTTGAAATTAACTGCAATATCATTTGAAACTAAATTGATGTCCTGGAACCAGGACACCATGTTAGGTTTGATCACCAGCAGTCAGGTGTTAGTTATTTTTAGGCCACAGTACTGTCTTATGGTGCTATGTTCCATTTTCTGTCTCTTTATTCAGGTGGTTACCAAAGCATTTCATGGAGCAGGCCTAGTTGTTCCTGTAGACAAAAACGATGTTGGATACAGAGAACTTCCTGAAACAAATGGTAAACGTCTTGTTTACTGTATCACTCTGATTTTTTGAAGTACACAACCCTCAGTAAAAAGCAAACTGCATTCATGTTTTCTGCTTTAAAAATTTGACTGATAGGAGTAAAACATAGAACTCCTAACCATGACACTTGTCCTCTAAGTATTGCCATTAAAGGAATCAGATGAGACTCGATGAAACATGCTAAATTGGCAAAAGGAATACCTGAAGGTGTGGCTTAGATGATATTTTCTTTTGTGTTGTCAAAGCCATGCAGGAAGTAGATCAAAAAGCTAATCTACATTCAGGAATGTGTGGGTTTATTTCTTATCCACCCTCTTCCAGTGTTGTTTTAACCGGAATCGATTCCTTGATGAAATTTCATCACACAAGTGCGTGTCTCCCTTTGTGAGGCACTGAGAGGGATGGGTATGGGGTAAGAATGAGCTTCCAAGGAAAGCGGGAACTGCTTCACCAGTAGTTCAGGGTGTGTCCCCTTACCTTACATGTAAGTGTGACACACGAGTGTAGTTTTGACACAGAATACTTCTGTGCAATATTAATTTTTTTTTTTATTTAAACATCTAAATACTTGCTTTTGGTTTTTTTGCAGCTAATCTTAAAAAAATTTGCAAGGCCATTGTTGATGCTCCAACTGATGAGGAGAGAGTGAAGGCCTTTGCACCCATTCAAGAAATGCTGACCTTTGTTCAGTTTGCTAATGATGAATGTGATTATGGAATGGGGTATGAGCTGGGCATGGACCTGTTTTGCTATGGATCACATGTAAGTACAACAATCAAACTTCACAGAATTATGCATTATTTTATATATGGGCTAGAAGATGTTCTGCTGTAGATTAATTATCCCTAGGAATCATAGAGGTCTATGAGGATATTCTTAATTCATGAAGACTTAAAAAGTCACCCAGTGTCATTCCATGTTGAATTTAAAATTGTGCTTATGAAGGCCCAATCCTGCAATCCAGAAGTGGTGTGTGAAGGGCCTGATCCAAATACATTGAATAGCTGGAGTCCCCTGTCCCCAGCTACTTGTATAGGCACCCATATTCACCCAGATCAAGAAACAGCCTGATGCTGGTAGTAACCCCAGCTGGAAGAATGTGAGCCCAGGTCAGCTGCCGGCTGCACTGCATAGGGCACCTCCCACCAGGAGTCTCCTCCCTAGTTCTCTAAGCTAGCAGTGAACACTGTCAGTAAGGAGATTGAATTAATAGCACTTATTGCACATAAAAGTTACACTTAATGCTTTTTGTTCTGTATTAGCTACTGACCTGCTGGGGAAAAGGGTCATGGCTGTAATTAGTAAATAGGCAGAAAATAACACACGAAGTTTCAACATCAACCTAATGTGAATGAAACATAGAAACATCCCCTGCACAACAGCTGCTTCTAGCAAAACTAGTATTGACTAAGTGGTGCTCCAGAGTATTATGAGAAAGATAAGTTTTTCAATACTAAATGTAAGCCCAAAAGAGCTGTGCTGAACACTGATTAAAATACTTAGCCATTGAAATGTATGAAAACTGACTGCTCTTGCCATATACTGTTAAATTACTATTGTGTTTCTTAGACTTCATGCCCTGCTCTCTTAAGTTCCTTACAGTATCTGAAAGTGCTATTTTTCATCAATATCCTTTTCATTTAGAACGTTTCTTTCACATACTAGGCTGCTTCAGCTGCTTAAATCCTTTCTAGGACTGGAAGGGCAGTGAAGGAAATGGTTCCTCCCATTTTTCTGAGTAGTTGGAGCCAAATACTCATTTTCCAAGCTTTGTGCTTCTCAGCACATGAGCCCAACCGCTGACAAAGTCCTGCAGTGAAAAATTGTGTTTACAATACTGTTGTGTCTCTTGTCTGTTTTACGCTGCAGCTTGGAACACCTGTAACTTTGCAGCTGTTTTCTAGAATTAGAAATCTTCATCTTCTAGTTTAGTAAACAGAAGAAACAGTAGCTTCACACATTAGTTTTGCTTAGTTAGGTCCCTGCCTTTCTTGGAGCTCCTACTTGTTTTCCAGCTCTGACTGCAGCCTTCCTGGCCATTTGGGTACACAGCCAGAGAAACACTGACACCTCATCTGTAGCCAAAGATATAGAAAAGAACTTGAATCGTCCCCTTTGTTTGAGAGATACAATGGAACTACAATAATGATTACAAATGCTAAATATGCTCTTGACATTTATACTTTTGAAGTTCTTAAAAGGTTACTGTAACTACCACTGTAATACCCTAAAACTGCCGGGTGGGACAAGACATGGGACTGTGACAGGATAGGGGACCTCACCTGCAGGCTTCAGCTTGGGAGGCTGTAGTGAGTGGGATCATCTTTTCTTGCACTGCTAACACTCGATTTCTCTCTCCCTGCGGCAGCTCGGGCACCCCCCTGCCCTTGCTGTGGCTGTCACAGGTGTAGCATGAGGGTACATGAGGAGCAGCAGGTGCTCAGCTGTCCCGGGAGGGTTGAAGGATGAAGCGTGAATGGGGCAGGGCCAGGAGCTGGGGCTGCTCCCGGAATTAACAAAGCCACTGAGGCCGAGGGCGGCTCTTTGTTTTCACTTCTGTCCTGCAGTACTTTCACAAGACGGTGGGCCAGCTGCTACCCTTGGCTTACACCCTGCTGAAGAGGAACCTCTTTGCCGAAATCATCGAGCAGCACCTGGGCGCCCGGCGGGAGGAGGACCTGGATCAGCTGGCGCTCTGAGCGGGCACGGGGCTGCAGCGGGGGGCGGCCCTGCGGCCGGGCCTGGGCTCGACTTTGTGTCTGTGGTTTTTTGTATCGGTGGCGGTGTCCCCCGCGGGCAGTAAAGGTTTTCTAAGGAACGCGCTGTTTGCCGGTGCTCTGCGTACGGCGGGAGCGGGGCTGAGGAGCCGTGGGGCGGAGCTGCCCACGGGCGGGGCCGTGGGGCTGACACGCCCGCCCGGGCCGGCCCTGCCCTGCCGGGCCCGGGAGCCAAAGCCGGGCCGGGGCCGGCGCCCCGGGCGGCCCGGGGAGAGCGGGACACTGCTCGGGGCACCTGCGGGCTCCGCTGGGGCTCGATCACCACCGCCCCTGTGCCTTATGGTTCAAGTGGGAGGGAACTGACGGCACGAAAGAAATGCTGACATTACAAGGGAAATTAGGAATTCTACTGCAGTTGCTACCTTGCTAATAAGAAGCCATCTCCAGTTCTAAACATTTAAAAATTAAACCCAAGTGATTTTGTACAAAGTGCAAATTAATGGTTTTCAAGGTCCTTAACCCCCAGTTCTATGTTCTTGTTACTGTACTTGGAGGTTTATTCTCTGGCCATTGATTAAAGAAACAGTCCAGAAACAATGGAAAATAACACTTGCTCTTACTCAGCAGCCCTGCCACCACCCAGTGACTTGACTTCCATTGTAGCAATTCACATCAGTACTAGTGACAGCAATAGTAATTATTGCTGATAAAGATCATAGGCCAGTAGAACCATGCTAAAACATAAGTCATTCCTACTCTTTTTAAGCAAAAAAGCTGTATGTTACTTTATGGTAGAAGGGAGCGGTGGTGGTACAATATAGGTTAGAGTGCTGCAAAAGTATTTTGTGTTTCAAATGCACGTGATCACATGCCACAGCTACTAGTCTAAATTTGACAGCTTTATCCCTTTCATTCAGCATATTACTATCCCAATTATTCAAGCACAGACTAACAGGAGCTCATTCATAGGCCTAGAGGGTTTTTTTTAAATACATAAAAACCAGATACTTTCCATCTCATTCTTTTTGTTTCAAGTAGAGGAGACCTTAATATCAGGCCCTATAAATCACACAAGTATTAAAACAGTTGTTTGAGTTGGAGGGGACCTTAAAAATTCAACTTTTTAACTGTTACTTAAATATGAACTTGGATCTGCAAAAATGAGGACCTGAGATTGGACATCCATATTCCACTATTAACTCCTGATGGAGAAGGAAACCTGTTAGAGCAGCTGCAACATAACTGATGTTATTACTGATGCTCTGTATCAATAAACTGGGACAGACTTTTTAGCAGGGCCTGCTGCACTAGGAGTATTGGCTTTAACTAAAAAAGCGTAGAGTCAGACTAGATAGGGGAAAGATGTTTTTTATTATGAGAATGGTGAAATATTGAAATGGGCTGCCCAGAGGGGAAAGATGTTTTTTATTATGAGAATGGTGAAATATTGAAATGGGCTGCCCAGAGGGGTTGTACCTGCCCCTCCCTCTACATGTTCAATGGATGGGGCCCTGAGCAACCTGTCTCATGGAAGGTGTCCCTGCCCATGACAGGAGGGCTGGAATGAGGTGAACTTTAACCTCCGTTCCAAGGCAGGCCATTCTATGACGTGTACATCATCAGCAGATGGTTTTCAGACAATAAAAGGCTCATCCACTTTTAATTATTTTAAAACAAAAACATTTTGTTTTAATTCTATAATTAAACCAAAATATTAAATGTTTATTTTGGAAAAATACACTACCTATGGCAGATCAGTTTGATGGTGTTGATTTGGCTACTGATTTTTTAGCCAAATGCTAGGCAATGCAAATACTGCATCTCCTAATCTGCATTCTTTTTGTCAAATCTTACTAGTTTTGTATGTAAAATTCCTAGCTGTTAATTGTCTCTCAGGGAAAATAAATGCAAAAATCAACACAAATCTTGTTTGTGAAAACAATGAGAAAACATGACAGAACAATAAATGGTAATACAGAAGTTTTTAATGCTTGATTAAATCATCACAGTAACGAGAATTTTTACTGTAATGATATGCAGTCCTACCACACTATTATAAATAAAAACATTAAGATCAATATTAAATACAGCTCTAGGCAACATCACAGATTAACAAAGAATGCATTCTTCATGAACCAGTATCTGAATGATTTAAAAAATAAAAAAATGCTGACACTTTCCCCCTCCCATCCACCACCTTTTTTTTTTTTTTTTTTTTTTTAATTAGTAATTTGAGTAAGGCGCTGCAAGTTTCACATTAGAAATTTTTTGTTGCACAGCACAGGCACACATACTTCATTAACTGAACCTCTACTGCATGTTTACCAGACGACATTTCAAAATGTCAGCAGGGAAAGCTTAGCAGGCTAAGAGTAAACAGAGATGCACAATTTATGTGCAGCTCTCAGGATCCATACAGAAATGAAACACAGCAGGAGTGTGAACTGTATTTTAATTCAGACAGTAGTCTCTAGAATTAGGTGCATGTTAATACAGTACACACAGCAGTGTTTTACAATAACACCACACATGGCAGAGATTTCAAACTGATTTAAAGTGATTTTTGTATGTGTACTGAGTTTGTATTCTTCCACTGTAGGAAAAAAAAAATTAGACAACAGAAATCAATGTCACAACTTCCAGAGCTGCCTTCTGTAAATAGGTCTAATCCTGCTCTTTGTGAAGCTTCCTCTTCAAGCTTATGTAACACAGCAGAACAAATTTTTAACAACTAGCACTGACTTCACATGGAAGAACAAAACTGGTTGTTGCCATCCTCCCATTTTTACATAGCCCAATTCCCTGTTTCATTTACAAACCTGTTTTTAATACAGCGCCTGATCTCTGTGATCCCCCGGCACATTTCACTTTCTACCAGTTCCAGTTGGAACCAAGATGATAAAATGTAGATGGCAGTTCTTAACTAAGGAAAATCGGTTTAAATTCAACAGTGCACTTAAGCACAACCATTTTTGTGCAGCTCAGCAAAAGTGCCAGAATTTTGGTTCATTGTGTTATTGTACTTAAGATAAAATTATACTGATTACTTTGTGAATAAGATGTTTGAGGTAACTGTGATGAATGCCTTAGAGATATTTAGGATTATTATGTTAGACTCTTAGTGTTTATATTCTTGCCATTTTTTGCAATCTTGTGAGCATAATAGTTGAAGACATTTTATCCAACCTCATGTTACAAACATTTTTGTCAGCCAGATTTTTTTTTTTCCTTCCTAATTTAGGCTTATAGCATATTGTCATTTTTTCTCTGCATGCAGTTCTGGTGGTGGTCTGATAAAATGAATAGGAATGTACTGTAAAGAAGTTAGGGGTCTGTCAGTTCACCTCTGAGTGTGTGTGTGTTGCTGCTGAATTTTAAGTCCTGCAGTTTCAAGTACTGGATTCAATTCTGCCCTGCTGCTCAGGTGTGACTGCATATAATTTACACCTTTATATAGTTGGGAGAAAAGAAGAGTCAAAAGCAATCTAATAGTTGCTTTCTCCTATTACTTTTAAAACCCTGTGGGTTTCTTTTTTAAATCAAACCCTACTATTACTGTTCCAGTTATCTGCTAGTAAAGAAAAAAGGAAATTCAAGGTAACGGCAGTGAAAGTTACATTTGAAAATGATCTTGTATGTATGTTGGATCATAAAGAAGCCATTTTCTTGAAACCCTTCATCTAGTTGTAAACATTTGCAAATCCTCCGTTACTTGCAGAGGATTATGAATTATTTTATAAAATCACATTAAAAAGGTAATTAGTTATGTGAGATATCAACTGATTCATATTTAATATAATTATTAATCCATACAAATATAAATAAAGAATGGTAAAACTTCAAGAAAAATAATATACATTTAGTGCAAATTATGAGTTACATTTCTTCCTACCATGTCAGCAGTGGAACGTCTTTTGTGGAGAAGAAAAAACAAAAATGACCATTCTCAAATTTTACAGGGGGGGAAAAGTTCTCCAGTGTTGAAGCATGCATTTTTTTACCAGATACACGTATATAGAATTGTTCCAGCTCTTAAACTAGTAGAATAGCAGTATTTTTCCTTATACTGCACAACATTGGTATATATATCATAGTGTGTTCAGTAATACAAAAATTGCATAAGACCAGGTCACATTATTGATATTTTCTGCAGCAAAACCAGTATTTTTCTTTAAAATACTGGTTTCACCTGGTTTTAGTTTTCTCATATCATGACAGCACACGGGTGGAAAGAAGTCTCGCATGGTTCTTGGAAACTATTACCTGTTCAATCTGGTTTTGTTGCAGTGGATCTGCACTGCCCCAAGCATTTCGTGATGTACGAACTTACACATTTAATGGCACAAGAAAAACCTCCCTTCTTGTGATCACACCTCAATAACTCATAGTACATCTCAATATGAGAAACAGCTGCTTCAAAAGGGCACACCAATTTTAAAGAGGCTTTGTTACAGCTCAGGAGAGAGAGAAATAAAGCTCTTCTGGAATGTAGAAAGGTGACGAGTAATAGTTAATACGTTTCATGAGTTAACACAACAGTTTTCAATGGTAAAAAGGGCAAGACCTTTCAGTCTCCACAAGATGGCTCAATTCAGAATGATCCCTCTAGAAACAGGGATTATTAACATATCTCTTCAATGCTGAAGTACCAGGCTGGGCTGGAGAATGGCACCATTTCGCATGGCTCACCCACTGCACTATCATGGCAGACCTGATGTCTCGGGACGCATCCAGTGCAGGACAGCAGCTCTCCCTTCCCACACTCCCATCAGCCTTCCTCCTCGCCACATGCTCCCCCAGACTGACTCCTGATTGCCAGCAGCACTGTTACATAAAAACCCAGCTCATCTCTGATTTTAGAAGTTTTCCCCAGACTAAAGTGTTGTGCTATTCAACAAATGAACCTCCTCTTCAGTTTCCTCTCTCTCCTCAGCTATGGGTTTCAGTTGAACATTATGGAGGCGGGGTCTTGGTTTGCCGTCTGGGCCATATGACGGAGGATATCTTTTTTTGTTATAATGCCAAGGAGGCGCCTGAAAAGGATAAATGGGAGACTGATATTAATCCAAGCAGGAAAATAATGAAGCAGAACAAATCTGTAGCCAAGTCCTTTTTGTTGACAGGAATAGAGCAAAAGTAAACAGTCTGATTTTCTTATTTAAACAGAAACATTTTATTTATCAAAATGTTGAGGAACCACCAGTTTGATAAAACACAGCAATGCTGAGACACTGTATCAAATGGTCTCTGACAGCTGTAGTCCATTTTAATGAAATACAAGTCATACAAGTAGAGCCCATTACAATTTTTATTTAACTTTTTGTTTCTACAAAAATCAAATTTTCATTAGCCTATGCCAACAAAAAAGTAACAAAGAGGGACAAAGAAAAGAGAGGCATGAAAAAGAAGTGATAGTGATCCCATTTCATAAAGGAGGCATGTTCCAACCTAGCCATCAGAAGTGATGTACTGCTTGATGGCCCCAAATCAAGCAAATCAAACTCCCCTTCCCTCCTTTTTTAAACCAGAAGGATTCTTCCAGTCTGACACATTGGCTCAGATTGAATGCATTCATAGGAGCACACTGGCCACAAAACTTTTGTAAAATAAACAACAGTTATTTAGGTTTTGGAGTTTATGGCTTTAGAAAAAAACTGTGAATAATAAAATTTTCATTTTCCAATTTAGATACTGTGCTCTTATGACAGGGTCTTTTAAAACTACAACTGTGAAACATCAAATAGAGTGAGACTGTCCAAAAGGATAATATCACAAGAGAAGCAAAGAGCAGAATGAATGAGCTGCTGCCCTTATTTTGGTTAGTACATTTCAATTTGTCTTATTAAAGGATGCATGAAATACTTGTGAAATATTAGCATAAAATGAGAACATAATTAGCATGTTTTGCACATAAGCAGCTAAAAATGGTGGGTATGTTTAGTAGACATGGAAATAGCAACCCATGTCTGAATTAAGACGAAGTGTACCACCTATCTAAGGGGTTAGTTCACAACATCATGGTTAAAATCATATCTGGATTCTTAGGTCAACAGTCAACATAGTAGCAGGTGACTGGTATCTGTACATTTTGTAAAGGATTATACTGACTGCTGTAGGTAACAGTGGCAGAATAACAGATTTTACATAAAATCACAGGACTTTGCTAAAAAATAAGAGTACTTTCAAAAAATCATGTTAATAAAGGGTGATTACAGGGAGGATATAATGATGCAATTAAAACATGCTTATTTCTGCTTCTCAAAAGATGTGATATTTTGCAGGTATTTAACAGCTATTTAAAGCTGTCCAAATCAGAAAAAGAAATTGGCACATACAAAAATCTTAATTTGCATTAGGCAGGGAAAAACTATTCCTAGCTGCATGCCTTCCCACCTGGGGAATTCAAGAGATCAACCAGCTGGATCGATGTGATCTCATCAACACAAGTATCAGAAAGTTTACTGTTTACTTTCCTTTAATGTTGTGACTAACAGTATGTTCACATTTACAGCTTCTTTTCTACAAAAGGATTTTGCACATGTTGTTTTATGTTTAATACAATTTTTGAGCATAAGAAGATTTCATTGGTCAGCTGATATCATAAAAACCCTGAACAGTTCACAAGTTTCATGCTTCCTGACTTCTACTGTGTCTAATTATGAGATCTGATATATCTAATCACCAAGGGTTCGACGTGCTGCTTTAGTTGCTCGAGATGCTCTAATATGTTCTTCTTTGTGATGATCCCCAAGACAATCCTGCAACAGATTATGTTATGCTAATAACTGTGTGAAATCAAAAGAAAAAAAAAGTTCTAATCATAATGAAAAAGGATTAGAGCAAACTAAAAAAAAAAAAAATAAAAAAAAATAGAATGGTTGCAGGAAAGCTAATGAGATAATTAAATAAGAATTTATTTCAAAGTCAGTACCCTTTCCCAAATTTTGCTTTTTCCTTTTTCTCCCAAAATACTGAACATAATTAGCTCTTCAACCACCCAGAGCAGTATGTTTCTTCTATCAGGTACACATTGGGGTAGCAAACTTTATCCCTTCACCCTAAATTCACATATTTTTGAGTTTTAAAGGTACTGAAACTAAAATCTACTTTGTATTTCCTCTGTTTAATAGTTACTTCTCCTCACACATACAGATAATTATTGACATTTTTAACAAGCCACAGAGTAGATGAACAAAGTAATAACTCTGTAAAGTCATAGCAACTGAGGTTCAAAGCTGCCCTACAGAGCTGGGCTATCTGGTGTCCTTAGAAACAGAAAAATTTAGACAAATTTCTGGTTCATGACAGGACAAACCAAGCGCAACTCCCTGCAATGGATATTCTGGTACAGATTTGGAGGAGTATGGCTCAGGCTTCTCTCTGTCATCTGCACCAATTTCTGTACAGTCTAATCTGGACTGGAATCAGTATGTTAATGCAAGTCTTTAAACAGGTGTATTCAGTTTGCAGGAAATCTGCCAGCCAAAATATAAAATAGTCCTTGAGGACCACAAGGCTATATGCCATGGCTAAACACCACCAGTACTAGTATTTATGATCTGCTCTTCTTGTAATGGACAGTGTATTTGTGGAATGTCACAAATTCATAAACTGAAGTAGGATAAAATAAATATTAAAGCCATCTGTACTTCCTGTTACTTTATCATAAAATAGTTTAAAATTTATAGTAGAGCTTAACACAGCTTTGCATGATCAAGCTCTCTTTAGAGAAAAGTTTAGCATCAATGTCAATGTTTGAGCACTCAACCACAACAGAAACTATGAAAAAAAAATCATAATAAATATTTTTCAGTGAAGTTCTATCAATTCCAATTTCCCTCCCCAAAACAAGAATAACTGCATGCCCACAGTAACTTCTAAGAGTCAGATCATTTTCCCTGCCAGAGAAAGGCTTCTGGAAACACTACTTGCCATTCCATACAGAGATGCATTGAAGAAAAAAAAATAAAAATCCAGACAGGAGGGCATTTAAATAAATATGTTTCAAAATGCATCTGAAAAAAAAAAGCCAACTTGGAAACCAATAAAATATTTAAATATTCGCCACATATAGGAGCAGTCCTTTTGCCCACAGAAAAACTAAGGAAGTCCTAGTCATTTCAGATATCTTCTCCCAAGGACATGAATCAATCCTAAACATGTGAATGAGCAGACAACATTTCATTCCGCAGGTGCCTTAAAAGACATGCTAAAGGGAAAGCAAGATACTATGGTAGGAGCTTTGATGTTGCATGTCAAGCATTAAATGCAAGGGATACAGGAAAGCAAATGTTAAAGGAACAGCTGCACAGAAAAAGATCATATAGAAAAAAACAAGGAGCAGTTTAGATAAGAGGTAATTACAATGAACATTTAGTTTCCATGCCAGGGGCTCATTTATTTAGTAGATAATCACAGGACAACTCCCAATAGTCTCATTTACAAACATTCTAAATCTTAAAACTACTTTCCTGAAATATTTTGAATTGTAGAAACAAAAGTTGCAGACTGAAGTTCCAGAACTAGCAGCAGTTTAATTGTTAGTATGCCAAAAAACAAAAGCTTGGTGGTAATCGCCATCACTAGACTTACTAGATGAAGAGATACTGACTAGATCATTTCCCCCTTTACTCTTTATGAACCCAGTATTGTAGATGTTCAGTAACTGCTGATATATTGCATGTTGCCAGAACATTGATAATAACCAGGAAGTATAAGCCTTAGACTCTGCAGCGCACAAGACTAAATTTCTGCAAGAGAAGCTGTATCTCGTCCACAAGCAAGTTGCACAGACCAAGCTTGCTGAATGGCAGTAAATTTTTAATAGAACATCGTAAAATGACTGAAATCATCTGCCTGCTTACTTAGAACACACGGACGGCGTAAGAATTTCAGAGAGGTGCTACAGCACAGCAAATTCTTAATGAACAGCTGGGGTCCTCAGTTGCAAACTTACAGGTTCAAATACCATGATCCTGGTGTATATCCTGGTTCAAATACTCTGATTCTGGAAGTGAAAAGTACTGTATCTAAAAAAATGCACAGCATTGCTGCCACTTTACTCACCCATTGTGTGTTACAAGGCACTGCCTCAGACCCAGCTTCCGGAAAATATCCACCACTATTTCCATTGGTGTGTGGTCTGTCACGGTGAAAGGGCTCATATCAAGTATACTTCTGAGCTTCAAAGGTCGAGGGCTTTCTGCTGGAAGCGATGGGGTATGCTGGGCAAAACATACCCTGGAACTGCCAACAATCCCCTCCTGCTTCTTTCTAGCACTTTCTTTAAAAAAGATAGGGAAGGGGAAAAAAAGCAAAGGAGGAAGAATTTACATTCTTGGAGTAAGATGTTAATGCAGACTTACAGCTCAACAATACCAGGCTCTTGCCTGTATTTTCATAGCCACTGCTTTATCCCCAGGAAGTGGTTGTGCAAAAATCACAAAAGCCATTTGCCATTCAGCTTTAGTCATTATTCAACTAATTTTCTCACTCAAATAAGTAACTTTTATTTACTATGAAGAGGTGGAAAGGCTAAAAAAAAACCTACTCAGCTCCTGAAGAAACTGCCAGGGAAAAGTCAGCCTCAATTGACAGCCCCCTGAATTTTTCCTAATATCCAACTTAAACTTCCCTCAGTACAACTTCAGGCCATTCCCTCAGGTCTTATCAGTGAGCGCACCACAGAGGAGAGATCAGTGCCTGCCCCTCCTCTCGCCCTCATGAGGAAGTTGCAGACTGCAATGAGGTCTCCCCACAGTCTCCTCCAGGATTAACAGACCAAGTGACCTCAGCTGCTTCTCATATGGCTTCAGCTCAAGGCCCTTCACCATCCTTGTGGCTCTCCTCTGGATGATCTCTCATGGCTTTATAACTCTGACTACCTGGCACCAAAAACTGCACACAGGACTTGAGGTGAGGCTGCTCCAGTGGAGAGCAGGACAATCTCGTCCCTTGCTCCACTGGCAGTGCTGTGCCTGATGTACCCCAGGACACACTTGGCCCTCCTGGCTGCAAGGGCACAATGACTCTTATGACAGAGACAACCCAAGATTAAGTGACTTTCACTGTATAATCTCAGCAGCTGAAATGAGTCTTACCTGTGAAAGTGTTTTCTAAGAAGAGTGTTCTGCTATTCCCCCATTTACTCAAATAAATGCAAACTTAAACCAGTATGGATGGCGTCAGTAATGATTTCCAAGTTTTGTACATTCATATACATCCTACACAATGTAATACCATGGTATACACAGTAGTAGGACCCCAGGCCAAAATCTGACTGAAGTAAACACTATTATGTTCAAAAAGCATGCTTTTAAAAAAAGTCTCTGGAAGCATCTGTCCCTTTCTCAAGTGTCTTTGTTTAAAATATATGTTTAAAAATAAAGTAGTTTAAGATGCAACTTCCATCCCTTATTTCATGCAATAAATGTTACATGCTTTCTAACATTTTCTTACATAACAGTGTGTTTCCTCTTACAGTTATGATAGTAGCCTCAAAATCCACAGAATTTTTCTTGCCAGGACACAAAGCATTATCACAAGTATCACACAAGCACTAACAATATTCACCCAGAAAGAGCTGTCCTAAACAGGGCTTCTGTGCTCATGTACCCAGGGACTAATTTCCCATTACACAAATTGTAAAATAATTAATATTCCACATATCTCTTCATAATACAACCATGGTTGCCATGACAAAAGTAAATAACACACTGTAAGAAAGAAATAGGATATACATTTAAAAATTACTTGGACAGTAATTCTCACAGAATACTGCTGGTCAAAAATGAGAATTACTTAATTTTGAAGAACAATGTTAGTATAGCATTACTCGAGGAAATGAGATACTATCAAAAGCCTCAAAAAAATAAAAAATACCAGATTAGATAATGTTTTGACCTACAACTTTTGCTTTTACAAGAGACAAAGAGATGAGGATTTTCTTCATTTCAGAGCCTGCTACTGAAGATACATTATCACACAGTTAAATCAATCTGCAGTCTAAAAACATACAGAGTAAATTCTATTTTAAATATAAAATAATATTAAACAATTTAAATTGGTGCATATAATAATGCAATACTGGAAGTTAATTACCTATTGCAATAGTTAAATCTCTTCTTAGAGCAAACCCCACAAGTCTCTGCGATTCCTTTGACATAATGACAGGAAAACCATTATAGCTGGTTTCATTGATCAGGGTTTCTATGTCTTCGACAGTCATATTATCCTGCGTCAGAACTGCTAAAGGTGGGTCGCTCCTGCGAGGTCTCATCACATCAGCAGCCAGTGTTGTGTGAGTGAATTCTTCCTTTGCATCCAAGAAAGGATATCCATTCAGTCGGATGTGTGCTTCATAGATGCCTTCCCTACCAAAGGCATCTCCTACCCACTTACTGGTCATGACTGCAGCCATTAGGGGCACAATATATTCCAGCCCTCCTGTTAGCTCAAAGACAATAACTACCAGGGACACAGTCATCCTTGTCACACCACCTGCAAGGAAAATGACAGTCAGTAACATCTGAGTATCAGATAACAATAATTTTAGAATTTTCTGCCTTCCTGCTGAGACCTATAAACATAACTTTGACATGAAAGGCCATCTGACAAACATCCTTCTGTGTAATACCAACGAAGCAGACAGAGAAAATTAACACAAAACTTCTAGAAGTGAAAAAGAGAGTTTAGGGAAAATTCATAGAAAGGGAGGTAATAAAGGAATTGGAAAATATGTACAGTTATTTAATGTAAACTAAGAATAAAACTGTGTATATCTCCATACCACATCAAAGTTAAAAGCACTGTGAAATGCTTTTAATATAAGAATTTGAAAAAAGAATTCAATGCTGTTGCTTAATCATAAAAGCTAAACAGAATTATGAGCTGATGAAAAGAAATCTCTTTCTTGGACAACAGAAGACAGGGATTATATTTCTCTTATGTTACTGTTTAAAATAATTTTTTTCTGCTAAGGTTTTTAATGCTGTCTCTTCATTCAATCAAATAATAAGAACTGTCTTTCAATTCATTCAAGAGTGATTCAAGTTGCACTATTAAAAACTAGAACAACTTCTCCAAAACCTAAATTTCTATTACTAGTTTGATTGCCCAAACATACCTTTGCTTAAAGAAGAAGTCTACTTCTTGCAGAATTTGTCCTAACAGCTTTTAAGGTTAATTTCTAAGGCCACTAACTTATAAATAAGGACAACTTAAGCCTCTTTCCATGAAGCTGATTTTCAACAATTAGACTTGTTAAAAATACCTTACACACTTCTAAAGCTTTTGTTTGGATAATGAATTTCAAGAACAATTTCTTGCAATTCATGTAGATGTGGTAGCTGATCACACCACTTCCTTCTAATAATTTTAACTGTACTTGACACCGTAAATTCTCTGCTTTAAGGAACTAATTTTTCTGACCAATGTAGTGATGACTTTTCTTGATACCAAAAAGAGAAAGCAAACACTACTAAAATTTTCCTATTTCTCATCAATTTAGATTTCACATTATTTCTCAGATCACAAGGAGTTGAGGGTCTTGTGTAGAGATGTGAATGCATTACTCTGGAGGAAAGACGTTATAAATAGGTGTTCCAAAACTACACAAGTTTATATCTCCTTTCATTTTTTAATAATTATTTTGATATATGAAGAAAACAGATACTTATTTGTTACATTTTATTTACCTAAGCATGCAGCAGCACCAACCATGGCATAAAGACCAGGTGTAATACAGTCAGCTCCAACTTCACACCATTCCTTGAAAATGAACCAGTCATGATGGTAGTAAGCCAGCTGCTCCACTGCAATTCCTACAATCCTTCCTGCTATTGCTCCAATTGCCATACTAGGTATGAACAACCCAGATGGAACCTGCAACGAAACCAGAACTGTTGTCATGCTGCTGGGAACATAACTGACACATCACTTAAGAAGTGATTTTTTCTATTTTTTTTCTGAAAGAGTAACAAACACTCAAACTATCAGGTTAAAACATGTAAAGTGACCTTGGAAGGTTAGCAGAACTTAACAGAAAGCTATTGATATCTCTGATTGACCTGATTAACAGAAACCATTTTATGAGAATGTTTGTTTATATCATACTGTGTTTGAGAGAAAATCTACCACCAATACAGGACCAAAAACTAGACTCGGTGCCAATAGCACAATTCTCTACCATGGGCATGCCCAGTGTGAGCTGTGCCAATCATACTGGAAAGATTTCCTTATCATTTCCTGTCTCCCTTATTCCTTCACATTCCTCAGAGTCAACATTGACTTACTAAACAGGACTGCCTTCCTAAACTGCTTCCTGACACTGCTATAAATTAACTAAACAGGTGAGTTTTAAAAGAGGCTCTGTACTATTACTGCTGTCTCCTATAGAAATGAGTGTATGTAGAATGCTAAACACACCAAGAGAGAAAAAGGCAAGATGATCCCCACCGCAAAAAAATTGGTAACACAATAGGTTAAAGAAAAAAAGAAGCTTCTACTGTCAGTTTAGTTACTTAAAATGTTTTCCTGATACTAACTAAAGCCTTGTCACACAAACATGGCTTAGTAAAATATTAGTGCAAACTTGCTTTTATCAGCAGTTTCATACAAAGAAACTTGCGTATCTTCTCTTCTCCTTATGAAGCAAATCTTTCCAAAAAACATACTGGTACCTAAATGTCTCATTAAACTGCAAATGCCTGCTGCTTCTCCTCACAGCAGTTGTTAACATCAAAATATTTTATACTGTGACTGAGGTAGAGGTGTGACTACAAAAAAAGAATAGAATTGTTACTTTGTGCATCTCATCCCATCTTGTTGAAATAACTTAAATATTGCATTCCTGCTGTAACAGGACACATAATGTAATTTTTCTTGTATTGTACAGCTGTGAAATTTAAGTATTGTGGAATTCCAAACTATAGATTTTTGCTGTGGTATTCAATAGCTGGTGCAGAAATGTATTTTAGAATTGCTGTTGTTGTTAGTATTACTATATTTTATCTGTATTTACGGTTGCAAAGAAGATTTCTAGCAACAAACCAAGGGAAAGCAAAGATAGATTATAATTATTATTACTTTATATTTTGTCTATATTTGTGGTTGCAAAGATGATTTCTAACCAACAAACCAAAGGAAAACAAACTTTGTGTTAGACAGTCAGCAGCACACGTTTTGAGAAAAAGTTTAATAAACTTTAATTCCTATACTGAATTACCTAATATTTCAGTGTTTACAGAGATAACATTCAATGCTATCATTTTAGTCTAGTATTCAAATTATGCATTTATACCACTATAACTACCTGTTATTTCCCACAATTAATTATGCATCTAAGCCCCTAGCCAACTGCTAAAATATTTTCTTTCCCTGAGTGAAATTCTTTCTTGGTGTACAGTACAACAGTACCCTGAAAGAATCCCATATTTCCAGTATAAAAGTAACAAAATAAACCTTTGAAACTGCCTCAGATCCTACTGTGCTAACAACAGAATATTGCAACAGAAATTCAGTCTACTGTGTATGCAACAGAAATTCAGTCTCCACATGGAAATTACATCAAAATTGTTTCTGGTCCTTTGGTAATATACCTTTTAATGCACTAGCTCCTCCTTTCCATCATATGTGGATAATGGTTACAAGTCTAACTGTAATTATGATTTTACAGGTCCATTTGTTTGCATACGCCTGTGAGTCACAAATCACAAAGGGGAGAGGAATCTTCCCAGAGAAGTAGCAAGGGAAAACAGCTAAGTTTTTCCTCTTCTCAGCTTTCTTCTCTGGAGCTTCCTTTTGAGCAAGCTCAAATTACACTCCAGAGGAAAGGATTTGTTGTGTGTCACATGTGTCATCTCTGGAAGAAGCAAGGATTAGGATATAGGTACAAGTTTCCACTTCTTCATTAGTGCAGCTGTGTACCAATCATGTTCTGAGGCAAAACTGTAACTCCTTCCCACCTGTTGATCAGGATTTAGATACAGTAACGGGTCTACTGATAACAAGCAATAGAGTTTAGAGTAAAAACATGAAAGGGAAAAAAAAAAAAACCACAAATCAAAACAAACAAAAAAATGCCAAACCCCTGCCATATCAGCCTCCTGGTAATGCATGTCCACAGCAGTACTAGCAGCAGAAATCACTTTGCCCCACTGGCAACAGCTGGGTAGCTTTCCTCACCTCACAGGAAAGCAGTTCCTGTGGGGAAGATGTATGTTTGCAGATGGCTACAGCTCCAGGAACAGACCTGGAGAGCCCAGAGGACCTTTATAATTATTTAAATGACAGTGTAATATTATTTCTTCACTTTTTTTTTTCCTTCTATTTTGAATTTGCGTATTTTATAGAGATAAAGCCTAAAGCAAAAAAATATCATTAAAGTAACATCCTCCAGATCCTGGCTGACACTCTAACTAACCACATGCTTTAAAGCTTCGAAGAAATCCATGCAGCACAGTTCCATCAATGACAGCAACATGACCCCTTGCCTACTGGCAAAGTAATAAAAACATTCTCACAACTTCACAAAAAATATTTCTACATGCTGAAGTTCTGAGAAAATGAACCAAACTCAAACGAGGGCTCTCCCATTCTGTATGTAAACCACTGAATTCTATCTAATATGCAGTGTGACCTTGTGGTGACAACCCCATGCAAAAGAGACAGATGCACATAAACACGTGAATGGTAAAGGAATGTCCAAAATATAAATGAAACCCAGTAAGTGAATACAAAACTAAACAACAGATTGAAGTGGTCACATCCCACAACACTGCCTGAATTACGGACCTAAGGAAGACTAGTGTTTTAAACACACACTCTAAGATTCCTCTTACCCACCAACCAACATACAGAACATAACTTCAAATAACAACCTGCAACATCTTCTAAAATATCCAAACATGAGAAATACAACATGATGTTACTGTTCTATCAGTTACAGAATAGTTGAGGTTGAAGATGACTGTCCCAGATTGTCTACGCCTGCTCAAGCAGGACACCCTCAGCAGGGTGCTCAGGCTTGCAACCAGTCAAGGTATGAGAACTTCCAAGGGTGTTCTCTGCACAGCACATTCTAGTGAGCAGACACCCTTACAGAAAGGAAGTGTTTTCTTATGCATGCTGTTACATGGAACAGCAACTTACACTGAAAAGTTAAGGCAAATTTAAACAAATCTTACTTAGTGAACATTCTACAGAAATTTGCATTAAGACACATTTGATTGTGATGTACTTGCAGAATCTATGAAGGGAGCCTGACAAGACAGAAAGTGATGAAGGTGTGACACTTATACATCATCATTTGGAAAACAGCTACGGACTGTGGAGAAGCCGAAGCCACTTCCAAAACAGATCTATGAAACAACTGGTTACACCAAAAATTATGCTGCTTGTAATGGAGAAGAAATTTCCATTACAGTCACACGAACAAAGCCCATTTTCTCATCACAACATGCAATACTGGAAAATACAGCAGAAGAAATCATCATTGCCTCCTTTTAACATCTGTAGTAATTCGATTTATGTGAACAATGAGGAGAGTAGATATAAGAAATATCACCAATGAGTAGTGGAAGGGGTACAGTCTGCTCTTCTTCCAAGTAACAGACAAGGGAATCTGAGCGGTTATGCTTGAACTTCGCTCCTGGAAATTTTAGAATAATCCCTTATTGCTGAATCAGGCACATACAAACAGCCATCCATCTACACAGTTACTGCTCCCTACTGCATTTAGCACATTTCTATTCAGCTGAACAAAGGGCTATTCTGAATTTAATTAAAGTTATTACTGTTTGCTACAGGACTTGCTTATTAACCAAAAGTAAAAAGACCTTTTTTTAAAAGAAATAACATGAAAAAAGTAAACAAAGCTTCTAGCTTCAAGAAATGGGAAATGAGGAAGGCAATAATTAAATGATCACAGCAGATAAGAGAGCTACTGCATTCACACTTACCTTGATACCAAAAGTGAAGACTGTCATGATTATTTTAAATATGAGTGCTAAACACAACTGCCATATAGCTGAGTAGACTCCAGTGCCTGCTGGGCGGTCCGGAATATCATCTACAATTTTGCTTGCATTCATATCATTTCTGTAGTCACAGAGTGAGGAGGATTCTAATGGCCCACAGTCTGTGAAGAGCTCCTTAATAAGCTCACTGGTGTTTAGCCTTGTATATGGATTAGGAAATGCAATCACAGCTGTTATTGCTGCAACAATAATAACCTCCAGGACAGGATACTTCCCAAATTTTGTAGATTTGCGTCGGCGACACCATGCAATATTTGCTCGGATGAAAAATGCTCCCCAGAGCCCACCAAATACTCCCAGAAGAATAAAAGGAAGCAGTTCAAAAAGATACCAAGGAGTGTGATATTCCACATAAAAAAGAACTAGGCGGCTATTACCAAAAGGATTTATGGACCTTAAAACAAATGCAGCTACTAAAGCAGCAAAAAACGATCTCCATAAAGTTTTCAGTGGGAAATAGTAACTGACCTGCAAAAGACAATACATGAGAATCATTAGTGATTCAATTAAAGACTGGGAAAAACAGGTTTATGCATGTGTTAGAATACTGCTGCTCACATGGTATAAGCTAAAAAAAATTATTCCTATCACTTGGAGCACTGGCACTCCAGCGGATTCTGCATTTTTAAAAAGCTCAACTCAGATTTTAAGTCAATACTACAGCATGTTGAAACTTCTGCTGTTTTAAGACCGTTAGGAAATGATGCACTGCAATTTATGCTTAGAAGCTGCTCTGCTTTGTGTCTCTAACTAGTCTTCATGAGAACCAGAGTACTAGCTGTACTCTTAGATTTCCTGCTAATATTTTCATCTCCTTTCAACCTATATTGAAAGGTTTATCACAGATCTGTTATTTTTAAGAAGTATGATTAAATTAAAACTAACAAAAAAAATTTAAAAGGCCTCAAAACAGAACATGCAATTTCATTCTTAAGCCCCACATAGCCTGATTTGAATTTTAAGACAGTTTTCTTCTGCATTTTCTGGCAACAGAGGAATTCCTCAAAACACCCTAAGAATATAATAAAATTATACATAAAAGAATACCTTCCCTACTTTTCAATTCAGAGATTTTTAGGGTTTTAGTTGTCTTTAAAAATGCCAATGATAGAAATAACATTCTTATGTATTTTGGAAATTAAAATTAAAACTAATTTAGCATAAAACATTTTTTGGAAAAGAGAATTTGCTTGCTTTGGAGGTAAGTTTTATAGTATATTTGCCCTTTTAATAATTATCACAGTTGTGTTAATTATCATATAATTGTGTTTAGTGTCTGAAGCTTTACATAATGCTTAAAAACATGCTTTACAAAACTGTTGAGTAAGTTTCTAAAGCCTTTTTCAAAAATTAAGAGACTTATTTCTTTTTTTTTTCAGAATAAACTCCTAGAGTGAAAACCTTCTGTGTCTGTATCTGCATGTAAACTGTAATTATTAACAGATTCAATCCTTTTCCAAAATAAAATAACTGAGAATAAAGTAAAGCTGACATTCATTAAAAAAAAAAAAAGAAAAAAAAAATCTTTAGGAGTTTGCTGGTAACAGGACTCTTGGTTTTGAAATATGGGTCCAAAAATAATTTCCTTCTTAGGAGAGACTCCATAGCTTAAAGGAGTCTGTAATTATTTAAACTAAGAGGATTTTTTAAAACATTTTTTCTTCAGTGCCATCTCTTGACATACCTCCTCCAGACTGAAAAGGACTCCACCAATTGGGGCACCAAAGGCTACAGAAACCCCTGCTGCTGAGGCAGCTGACAACACCTGGAAAACAATAAAGGTGAGGGGGTTTGTCACAGTCTATGTTGTAAACATGAACAACAAAATTCACCATAGTTATAAGCTAATTTTGCTGATGATAGAGGAGAACAAATGCATAGCAGAGCAGATTTTCACCCTGCAGCCCTTGCAAGCTCCTGGCAAGCTCCTAGCAAGGGCCGTGGCCTGTGAAAAGGAGCCCAAGCAGGAGCAGGTTTCTCGCAAGCACTGCAGCTTGTGGGTGATCCAGGCTGGGGCAGTCCTGAATGGCTGTACCCTGTGGAAAGGACCCACGCTGAAGCTATTTGTGAAGGTCTGTCTCCCATGGGTGGGGCCCCTCATCGGGGCAGAGAAAGAGAATCAAGAGGAAGGAGCAGCAGAAACACAGTATCCCCTTGTGCCACTTTGGGATAGAAGAGTTAGGAGCAAAGCTGAGCCTTTCAAGAAGGGACAGTGGGGGCAAGATACATTTCGTTTTGATTTCATTTCTTATTACTCTACTATTGGCAGTCAAGTAACTTTCCTCAAGTCTGGCCTGTTTGGCCTGGAATGGTAACTGGTGAGGAATCTCCCAGTCCTCATCTTGACCTCTGAGCTTTTCATCTTACTCTCTCCTGCTGTCCTGCACAGGACAGAGAGGTGAGAGAACTGCTTGGCCGGCCCCAAGTCAAACCCACCACACTCTTATTAACAACAGTGAACTGAAACGGGGCAGAAAACACTGCTGTCACCAGGAACACTTTGTTCATGGGCTCAGAGTACTCTGCTGTCCTCACAATTAAAGATACTCATCAATTACCAAAATGTAGAGACAAGCACAGAAAGAACTTAAATAAAACCAAATGGTCTCTGAAGTGGAAGAAACACAAACTGACTCTGCCATAGAAATTACTTACTGTGAGAATGCTGGGGATAACACATTGTTTTTAGCATAATAAATAACAATTGATAATCACTATATTGACAATTGATAATCACAATATTCTAAGAGAACAAAGATCTTCTTTTAAATAAATCAGTGAAAATGCACCAATATGCAATACATTCTAGAAATGCTTTTTCAATAACTTACCTCTCTTTTTTTAGCTTCATTTGTACTGTATTTTGGAAAGAGGTAGGAAAAAATATTCCCACAGCAGCAGGCAACATGTACCAAAGGACCTTCTTTTCCTAAACTCAAACCTGATGCAACAGCCAAGACTAAAGTAATTGTTTTTATCATCAAAGTCCACTTCCCCAAGTAACCTCTGATGATGAATCCGCTCAAAATAGTTTTTATCTGGAAGAAATAAAAAACTGTATCTGTTACTGCATTCTTCAATTTTCAAAAAATAATTCATCCTTTAATTTTAGCTGCTTTAATTTTAGCCTTTTCAAATTACTAACTTTGTCATACTTTAAAACATGTATCATTCGTATGGCCACAACTCAATCTATCTGCTTGCCAGAAGCTTTTCATTTGAAACTTACTCTAAAACACTGGGTAATAACACACAACTACAGTATCAATTACATTTAGTAGAAAATTAATCTGCAGCAGCTTCTAAGACTGGATTCATTAGTTTATGAGGTAAATTATTGAGCAAAAGGCAGAAAATTTCCAAATGAAAAATAAATCTGCTAAAACCATACTCAAGATCATCTATTGTACCAATATCTCAGCTTGCACCAATATCCCATGTTTTCTCTCCATGTTTTTACCATCATTACATAAAAATCGACAGTAGATTTCTTCACATAAAGATGGAAAAGATCAGCCTATCTCCACCAGGAAAATGTGCCACATGCCAAAGGTATTACTGTGCTTAATAATGCTATATTATAAGCTTGGAAAATAAGCCCATGCAGAGTAAATAATATACAGCTATCACAGGACAGCATGTCCATAAATAGGATGCACACAAAATACTGGGCAGCTGTGTCTAGGAAGTAAAGACAGCTAGATTTAAAAACCAATTCAAGATGAAATTTCTTCTGGAATAATGGCACTGAACTACTCCAGGCTTAAACAGAGGTAGATTAAAAAAAAATATTTACAGAAAAACTGAAGAAGTGAGACTGACCAGAACTGATTTGACTTTGGATTTTTCTCTCCCATTATGTGGATAGTAGCAGACAGCAATTGTAAACAGCGATTTTTTGAGGATACCACACATTTCACACTGCAACCGTCTATTGGTTTGTGGTAGTCAATGCCACTAAAGCCATTGCAACAAGATTGATTGCTCTATCAAATGACCTATATTGTGTCAATGAATCACTGCTCTCTTATCACCATAGAGAGGGTATGGATTAGGGGAGGTTTGGCAATCATTCTTCAGAAGTATACTAATCCAAATGCTTCCTTAAAAAGTGGTCCCGACAGAAGCAAAATCTACTAACCCAGGAAATTCTTTTAAATTTAAGGCATTTTCTCAGAAACAATTAGCAAAACTACATGTTTTCAGTTTGAATGCTTGTATTAATATATTTCTTCAAAGGCACAGGATGCTTCCTCTTGCCTTTCCCCTGACCCACTAAGGCAGCAGTAATCTACACATTAACATGAAACACCTATAATATATATATATATATATTAGTTAGACCTCACCTCAGGTATCCCTGAGCCACAGGCGTAGGGAGCAAATACCTTCACCAGAGAAACTGCTAAGAAGGCAAAGCTCAAAGCCCAGAAAATGTACATGATGTAGTTCATTATGTATGAACCTGGACCCTAAAAGCAAAAACAAAAAGTCAGAGAATAGATTTGACATAAGAGCAAAATCACTACTTAAAATAATCCAGAAGTACTCTTGCTGCAAGTACATTTATACACACATTTTGAGACACAACAGTCATTGCCAAGAGAGTTTTGTTTGAAATGCATAAAGCCATGACACCTGTACATTAGCACAGACTGTGTTAGAAAAGGTGGAAAGTATTTCTTCATCTTATAAAGAAAAAATAAACATATAACAAGTGTATTTTAAATAGCTAATAGCTGCTAAAATCTAGTGAATATTGAGAAAATCTTTATTTAAAAAAACTTGGTAGAAAAACAAACAAATCTATTAGTTATCAGAGAACACCATATATGGATTTAATTTACATACAGTTATGATCAAGAATAGAAATTCTCGTGTTATTAACAGTTCTATATTCTCATAACTTCCTTACATTTGCAATATTCCAAGCCACCTTCCAGTTCATGGAATACACATTTATTACACTATAATGTAGTAATCAATTCAAATGCTGAAACATGGCACAGACAGTACAACCCAAATTCATGTGTGGGTTGTACCCTAACCTTAAGGCCATTATATTTTTTTTTCCCTATTCAGCCAAGCAGTTGAAGAAGACCATCAAAGAATACTCACTTCTGCTTGCCCAATTATTAGTTCTGCCCATGTTTTCCACTGTGGACATTTATCTCTCTCTTCAAATGTGGTCTCATTTGAACCCCAACAACACTGTTCATGGTTAAACCACAAAGCACTAAGGCAAATGCCTTCCTTCAGGTCAGTCATCCAGTCAGCAGCTATGTCAATTAATCCTGCCAATGCCCCTGTTGTAGAAACAGTTTTGTATCAATGTTCTGGTAAACAGAAATAACACACACAGCTAAAATAAAGGAATGTGCTTGTATTAACTGAAGTAGTAAGTATTTACTTAATTAAATTGACATTTAATATAATACTGATTTCCAGGATTATATCCTGGTTTTGTTATGGTAAGACTAATATTTGAAGAATTAAGTACTTCGCATATTTCCCAAGTTAAACGAGATTTTTTTTTCCCTTTTTTCTTCTTATACCACAGTTCTCCAACAGTCCACTGAAACCAAGGAGTTAAGAGTAAAGAGAGAACTGTTACTTTTGTGTGATGGAGCAGTTTATACGGCACCAAGCCTGCTGGAAAGAGATGGAATTCACCTGTCTAAAAGGTGGGAAAAGATTCTAGCCCACGTGTTGGCAAGTCAAAAGCAGTACATCAGTAGAACAGAATTTCAACCAAATTATTAAAATACATAAACATAAGATGTCCTTGTCACTGAACTCAAGGTTGTACCATTTAAGATTCACTAGACATACAAGAGAAGGCATCTGAGACTGAAAAACCTACCAGTGTTCAAAACCAGAATATGCTCACTTTGTTACTCAAAAACAGAATAAAGGAATTGTAAAAAACAGCCTCTTAGGGGATGGAAAACACTCCACACTGCATGCTCCCATTGAAATTATCATAAACAATTTCCAGTAATTATCCACTCCTGGTTTGTGCATCCAGAAGTATATAAACATGCTACAAACTTTGCATATATATTAATTTATATGTGATTTGTGAAAATGATTATGTATATACCTAAGCAGTAATTATACTGTTACCAAGCTTTTTAATAAGCATAGCCTTACTTCACAACTAACTTTCCTAACATTTAATCTACAATGTCTATTTGAAATACTTATTTTGAAAAACTTGGCACAAAGTTTGTGACCTTTCCTTACTGCAGGTTTTAGTCACTTCAAACTATATTCAGCACTGCCTGATCACTGGGCCACAAACTATTGGATGGCTTTAGTTGTAAAATCCATTCTGAAATACATTAAGAAGGAAAGAGAGAACTGAAGTATAGGTCAACAAACTTTACCTGTTAAAGTCAGTACTTTCTGTGGAAGAACCTCAGTAAAGGTACAACAGAAACATATACTTAGAATTCACCAATCCATAAACACATGCTTTACAAGGAAGTGTGCTTACCAAAACTACACATACCAGAGCTACTTTTACAGTCAACACTTTCACAAGAAATCCTACAAAATTTTACAGAAAGGGAAAATATAAATGTCAATCACAGGATTAAAGAACATTGACAGTTTAGTAGGTGGAAGCTCCAAAACACCTGAGAAACTCTCTCTAAATTCAGTAAGGATTTTGGTTCCCACTTGATCAGTAAACCCTCACCTCAAAATAGTGAAGCCTGTAAATCAAGATAGTAAAATTTTTCTTCCTTTATGGAATTTTTGTAGTAGACTGAATCAGCTCTTAGCTGGGTTGATGGAGAACAAAGAAAAAACACAACTATACCTGCTGACAAATATAAGAAAAGAATCCTTTGTGTTTTCATTTACCTGATGCCAAACCAGTTAATGTGACTACCAACCATCCTGACCATGCATCGTACAAACTTTTTGTCATCTCCCATGCTGATTCTTTCTTCTTGCTGTTAATCTGCAAAGAGAAATCAATATGTAGCACTGCATGTATTTCAGTAATATGAATAATGAAACAAAAGGAAGTATGACATACAAATTGCATGATGCAAGCTGCAGGCAAATAAACCCTCTCTTGAAACCACAAATGTTCTGCCTGTATTTAGTGCTTTACATAGATAAATCAGCTTAATTATTCAGACATCAAGCAACTGACAAAGAAACATACATTTGCTTAATTTAAAGAACTAAAATCCAGGAAATGCATTATTAGGATAATTGAATATTTTCTACGGCATACACCTAAAATGTGAATTGTAACATTATTTCCTTCCTATAGATTAAATATTTTTGAACCTTAATTAAACTGTTAGCATGCTAATAATAAGCTATTTCATATGATTCAAATTCTAAAACTTCTACTTCAAATATAAACATCTTTATCTTTAGACTAAAAAACACATAAAAGTAAAATAAAACAAAAAATTTGGTATCTACCCTATAGCACTTCTAGACAACTATTAGTAATGATATCTGAAGTTATTGTGCTGAAAAAGTTACTATTCTTCTTTTATCCTAATTTACTCTGTGCACTTAGCTGCAGTGGCACAGACACACTTGTGTCAGTACAAAGCAATATCCGTCACACTTCACTTTTCTATACAAATACCACCAAAACCACTATTGTACTATTACAAATACATCTACACTGGAAAATAGCCTTAAATATACTAGCATGCAAAAAATGCAGTACTTTAAAAATGGTATTTGGGTTACAGGGACCTAGTCCCCCTCTATTAAATTACTGCTTCCTTTCCAAGTTATAATAATGCTGCAAGACTGCAGGTATCCAACTAAGCAGTGCTTTTTAAACAATATTCAGGTAGGTCTACGATGAAACTATGTACACATCTAAAGGACATGCATATATTTGTATGTGTTACTAAATCAGACCTTAACTCCAACATCCAACTAAAGAAGTACTATTATTTATCTCAAGTACCCGTCTATGCCTTTCTCTGTCTTTGCATTTCTCTCGAACCCAGTCAATGGTATGGAAGTCATCGTATGTTCCAACTCCAGGAATTGGCTCATCCAGAAGGTCCAATAAATGTGTTGAACTGTTGATATTTCCTCCATTTGTCATTGTATAATGAGTTCCTGCAGTGGAGAAACACAGGAATCAATTAAGTCTGCAATAAATTAAGTATTCAAACTATGTTCATAGCACATAAACTTTTGAACAGCTAATTAAGACACTTTCCAGAATAAGTGTATTGTATAGTCATTTAGGTCTGTCAATGCTGCATGCCACCCCTCTTTACTGCCATTCAGCAGTAAATTAAATTGACGTATTAGTGACTTTGTGTTTCCATTGGTTAAATAGGAATGTCCTAGTCAAATTATTGTTCTGTTTTGTATGCAGGCTCCAGAAAAACTTCAATTGAAGCAAGTGGAAAAAAAGAGCAACTTTGACACACATTTAACTTCAAGCTTATTACAGCTTATGAACTACCATTGGAACATCTGTTTGTAGAAAAATAAAGCAAGGATGATTACCTAGAAAGTTCACAGTACCTTCATATGTAACCAATAATTTCTAAATATACATTCTATTGATTACAAATCTCTCCTATACATCTAAACCAAACCTAAAATACATTATTAACAGATTGTATGTGCATCTAAAAAGCAACAAAGAAACAAACACTCATATTTTGTTTTTATGGATTTTTTCAATTAAATCACAGAGCAGTACTCTGTCATAAAAACTGGGAACATAGTATAAAGAAAATATCTTCTGCTAATTTGTCATCACTACCTATTTTCTCCACAAGCAGCTTGCAGAGCAACAGCCACACAAATATTTATTGCACTGATCGGAATAAGAAGGCCAAGGGCAGGGGGGTACTGAAAATCTTTACATTTTCAAAAGTGATTAAAGATTTTTTACGCTTTCAAATGTCATAAATTCAGTAATATACTGGCTTTTTTTCTTAGTTCTCACTTGTTTGACTAAGGACAAAATAATTTGCCTAACAATATACAGCATACCACAGCAATCTCTATTTATAAAGACGTAGGCTCAAGTGGACCAAGATTTCTATCAGTTCAGACAGACACCAGAAATCATTTCACTAGACTGACACTGGGATGTTTAGACAGGTGGGGGTTTTTTTAACCTGTTTTTTGGGGGGGGGTTTTGTTGTTGGTTTGTTTGTGTTTATTTCCAGGTTTCTTTAATTGAGCTGCTTGGTATTGTCAGTGGAAATTTCCAACTAACCAAAAAACCAAAACTAACAGACAAACAGCTTGCCAAAGGACCTACCTGTAAACTTCCAAATGCTACAAATGCTGAGATCACCAGCCCAAGCCCTCATAATAACTCACAAATAGATTTATATGTAAGTAAAATGTGCCTTTTCCCTTTACAAATGTGAATTCTAAGATCTAGAAGAAGCAGTGTAACACCTGGCATTACACTATGCCTCAGTCATCTATTGTTAAAGAGGTCATGTGGATGCCCACTATATAACATATTGTTTATTCAGACATTTTCTTAGTGGTGAAAGAGAAAACAAGAAAACAACACAAAATTCTTATTAAGACAAAATGCAATCTATAATTTTCAAGATACACAAACAACTATTATTACAAATTCTATAAAGATTAAAAGAAAAGTACAGAAGACAATGCAAATGTAGCAGACATCTCCCCAGTAACACCAATACCTATCTCTTATGTGAGCCTGGCTGCCATCTTTAGCTTAATACATTTTTCCCCAGTCCATGCCATACTAAATCCCCCCTCATCTATTTCCCATAGCTAAGCCCTGTAAATCTCTTCCCAAAGCTACTGCTAGTCTCTCTTAAGGCAGATGTAAGGAAGCATTACCTATGCTTCCATTAATAAAAGGCTAACAACAACAACAATTTAAAACAGATTTGTTAACAGAGGTGATTGTGAAAACCTTGTTTTAGGATAAGGGATTCAATTCCCTTGCCATTTCCAATTCTCCTAACTAGAAGTCTAAGATACATGCCTGGATAGCTGAAAGGGCAAGGTGATCTTGTGGAAGAGATACTAACAAAATTCAAAGTGTGATAACTAGTTTAGCTCTTAGAATTAAGGCACTAACAGAATACATTATTAAAATATTATTTTTACATGAAATCAGCTTCCTCTGGCAAAGCAAGGAGACATAAATTAACCTCACCAATGGCTTAATTATTAATTTCCTAAATCATTCCAATGTGATGACACAGTTTCCTGAACCTGAGTGAGTAGGGTTGGGCAAAAGTTTGTCTTTGCTCTGGAGGAGTTGGTTTTATGCCCTGCTATAAATGAAGCAGTAACAAACTACAAGGAGCATGCAGTCCTATGCCACAGAAGGCAAAGGAAAGTTGAGAGTTATAAATGCATCACAAACAGTAAAAGATTATTTTATGCATATCACAAGGTGCTAAATTGGAATTCTCTCCAGGGGATTATCAGAGATGCCATCATCAGAGATGGCATTTATACTAATTGCACCTGACCCACAGCAGAACTTGGAGTAGATTACAAATGATAGTCACTGTCTAGATACAGTAAAAATCCCGCTGAAACTATGTCAGGTTCCTACTTTGCCAACAGTTGCGGGCACACCAAATACTGGAATATAACTGATTATTGTACAATGGGGAAGAGACACAGAAGAAGATAGGAAGCTGAAAAGGAGGTTTTGTTGAATACAGAGCTGCCATGACTGCCTAATGCAACACCTGAATAGCTGCAATCTTGTATCGAGAGAAAATAGGCAGCAGTGAGCATGGTAGAAAGGCTTCCTTAGAGCACCATGAAGAGGACAACTCTACAAAATCTGATGCTCTATATTTAAGATACAGAACTCTGAGATGACATTCTCTAGCTAGTATCATGATCTGTGTGATTTATAACTATTCTAAAGGAGATGTTAAAGAAATATACTTTTACTAAGACTCCACATTTTTTCAAGCTTTTACTTCCCTCTACCCTTCTTCCTTCTCTAGCATTTCACACGACAGGATGCTCCTTCCAGCGATAAAGATGATTTCTCATCAGCATAAACACACAAATTCTTACTATTTACTCCCAGTTTCAAAGAGTCATTAAATGCATTTTCAGCACAATGTTAAAACCCTTACCAGAATACAAATATTTCATCACCACATTCTAACCATCAGGCAGGAAATCATCATTACATAGATAAATTGTAGCACTTAGGAAACATTCAGAATTATTTCCCCTTCCATCCTCTCCCTCTTCCCCAGTCCTGAAGTTTCAAGATGCTTTCTCAGGCTACATGCTTTCCACCAGAAAAGAAGCAGGTTTGGTCTTAAAAACCACAACAAGCACTTAGCATACAAGATGTATAGGTATAGCCTCTAGCTATGATAAGAGAACACTTCTGGAGTTCATATGAGGATACCTAAGCCATTTTGGAGCTGTAAAAAAAGTAAAGCCTTTCTATTACATATGAATTTACTTAAGTTTTTATGAGACTGGAAGCTAATGGTAAAAGTGGCATGCGGAACTTTTATAATTACTGCTATTCTAAACTAACCCATGTTACTAGAGTGAGGGAAACAATATATTGATATTCTCAGAGTCTTAGTACAACTCACAACAATCCTTATAAAGCAAAATCACAGAATAGTTTAGGTTCGAAGGGACTTAAAGACCATCTAGTGCTTGGGCAAGGACACCTTTCACTACATAGGTTGCTCAAAGTCCTATCCAACCTGGCCCTGAACACTTTCAGCCATGGGGCATCTACAGCTTATCTGGGCAACCTAATCCAGTGCCTCACCACCATCATAGTAAAGAATTTCTTCCAGGATCTAATCTAAACCTCCTCTCTGCTTGAAACCATTCCCCCTTGTCCTGTAACTATGCTCCCTTATAATTCGTCTTTCTCCATGCTTCTTGTAGGCTCCTTTCAGGTACTGGAAGGCAACAATTCCATCACCTCAAAACCTCTTTTCCAGGCTGAATAAACCCAACCCACTCAATCTTTCCCCACAGAAGAGGTGCTCTAGCTCTGTGATCATTGTGGTGTCCCTCTGCTGGACTTGTTCCAACAGTGTCCTTCCTGTGCTGGGAACCCAGAGCTGGATGCAGCTCTGCAGATGGGGTCTCACCAGAGTGGAGCAGAGGGAAGAATCCCATCCCTGGCCCTGCTGGCCACACTGCTTTGGATGCAGCCCAGGACACGTTTGGCTTTCTGGGCTGGGAGTGCCCATGGCCAGGTCATGTCCAACTTCTCATCCACCAACACCTTGGTCTTGTTAAACATCATGAGATTTCCATGGGCTTACTTTTGGAGCTTGTTCAGGTCCCTCTGGATAGTATCTCATCCTTTAGGAGTGTCAACAGCACCATTCAGCTTGGTGTCATCTACAAATTTCCAAGCATGCACTCAATACCTTGATCTATGTCATTAATGAAGATATTAAATAACACCAGTCTCAATATGAACCCCTGAGAGACACCACTTGTCACTTATCGCCATCAAGACTCTGAGCCATTTACCCCTACCTTCTCATGTGACCATCCAAGCAATTTCTTATTCATCTAATGACTGGATAATGGTTCATGAAATCCATCTCTGTCCAGTTGAGAAAGAAGGATGTTGTGGGGGCCCATGTCAAATGCTTTACAGAAGCCCAGATAAATAATATCTGTAACCCTTCCCTTTTTCATTGATGGAATCACTCTCTCATAGAAGGCCACTGGGTTGGCCAAGGGGGAAACTTGGTGAAGCTTTGCTGGCCGTCCTGAACCTCAACATGTAACTGCTGTGAGCTGCTGCAATCACAGACTGAAAGCTTATAGACAGTAGGCTTGTAGACAGTAAGAGCAACATGCTTCTTCAGAAAAAGGAAGTCAGTCACTCTAAGTCTTGAATGAACTACCTTCTAGAAAGGCAGGTGACTTTTGTTATCCTTCCATGCATAAAATTCCAAATCTTGAGCACAATCCTTTCTCAGCAATCAGCTCTGGTATTGCTGAAGAACTGTGTGAACTGAAATTGTTAAAAAAAAATATTGCACAACGTTAAAAGAAAAAACTGTAATAAGCATTAAGGTTAGCAGTTAAACACTGTACTTTGGGACACCTGATGAGAATGAAGTACAACA